CGAGTGATGCAAGCCAGGCAGGGGCTCAAGGTCGGCAAGTGCATGCTCTTCTTTGGTGCCCGCTACAAGCAGGAGCCCGCAGAGAGTACAGCGTTCATGCTCTAGCATTTCTACTGGAGCTGTCCATGGCCGCTGCATTTTGGAGGAGTGGCTCTACAGAGAAGAGTTTGAGAGCTACGAGAAGGAGGGCGTGCTGCAAATGCACACGGCCTTTTCGCGCGAGCAGGCTAGTGTGCACTCGTGGCTGGCATTTGAGCAATGTCGCAGATGCTGAGACGAGGCACGCAAGATCTACGTGCAGCACAGGATAGTGGAGGCAGCTCTACGGATAGGTCCTGGTAGGATTTTCCGTGCTTGGCACAGCTCCTAGCAATGTTCAGATCTTGGAGCTCACATAAACCTGGCCTGTCTGTGGAAGGCGGGAGCTGATGTCGCTGAGAGGATGTTGAATCAGGGTGGGCATTTCTATGTCTGCGGATCTGCGCGACAAGTGCCCGAAGACATCTACACCGCCATGAAGGAGGCCGGACCCGGGCTGGGCCTCGCCTGGGACTCCGATTTCACGAGACTTTTGCCTGGCCTAATCTGTGGGCGGCAGAACTCCGAGCTTCGAGCTTGAGAGAGTCGCTTCTCGCTTTGAGAGTCTTCAGTAATTCTTGCATTCAGGTGATGATGGCGCACGAAAGGTGTGCTGAAGAAGACGCGGAAGCAATACTCTCCAACTTGAAGATGGAGGGCCGCTGCTCGTCGACAGAAGTCGTGCGTGTCTTGTTTTCTTGTCTTTCAAATCATCGAGTGCTGCAGATCAGAAGCAAGCAGGTTACACCGTCGAAGCTTGGTCGTGAGTTTGACATTTTGAAGCCTCGTGAATCCACGGGCGCTGGTTTCATGTTTAGAGCCCCTGTCGAGGAACTTTTAGCTCACAGGAGTTCCAGCAGCTTAGTGCTGCTTTCGGGCCTTTGAAAGGGCCCACCAACTTTCTAAAGAGACTGCATGCTGTGCCTGCCAGGCAACGCTTCAGTTTTGCGGCAGAAGCCAGGGGTCCCGCAGCTCTTCAGACCAACCAAACTTCCAAGCACTGAAACTTACTTTTGTGGCACCGCGACCTGACGAACGAAGATGCAGCCGGTGCCCGTGGGTGCTGCCGTGGAGTCACAGTTTGACCCCTGCCGGGTGACGGTTGGCTCCCCCATGCTCCCCCATCGATGCTCAGATGGAGAAAATGGCGTACCATGGCTACTGTGTTATGCTAAGTGCGATTGTCCCGACCATGCTCTACTCTCATTGCATGTACTCTTCCGGCACTAACTGCTGCCATTCCTATTATTAGTACTGTTTGTTTTTCCGCAGTGAATCGTACCCGTGCATGGCACAGAGATGCATACCAGTGAGCTCGGCATCACAACAAATCCCACGGTTGCCCTCACTGCTGGTTCATTACTCGCTAAACTCTAGCTAGCTGCGTGGGCATTTGCCGTTTCCATCGCTCTGATTGCCCAGTACTGCGATTGATGCCCATAGTATCCATGGAGGAGCACTTGCTTATGGTACTGTTCGTTGCTGCTAGGCAGCTTAGTAGTCGCAACGGAAAGCAGTAAGAGTAGTAGCAACGGTAAAGCAGAAATAGTTGTCACTTTTGCGAACCCGATGATGATGATTATGGTGATGATGATGATGATGATGATGATGATGATGATCTTGTTCCTTTCGGCCTGTCTTCTGCTGGGAGTTCAAGGCGAACGTCCTAAAGATCTTCATAGCATGAGTATTACTACCGTTACTACTGCTACGACCACTAGCAAGGCTGCTTTATGTCCAGACCTGGCTTTCGCCAGAGAGGGAAAGATGTGTGGAAATGACAATGCTCCCAGCGAAACTACGAAAAGACGACAAGCACCCGAAAGACCGTCTACACTAGCTGTTCTTCCCACACAAGCAGCGAAAAAGGAAGAAGTGGAACAATGACATGCTGTACCAGAAGGCTAACCCAGACTTCCTTGCTGCTACTATAGGAGCAGGAATAGGAGGACTCAGGAGTAGGATTATGAGAGTAGGAGTAGGAGGAGCAGCAGCACCTGGAACAGCCGAACCAGCAGAAGCAGCAGCAGTACGGGGTAGCCGTAGTGGCCACACCAAGAGCCCGTGCCACATCCGTCATCATGCATGCTGCTGTCTGCTCAGTGCTCAAAACTGGTGAGCGAACAAAGCTGCCAGACAGAAATCGGGTGATCGTAGGACTGTAGAGCAGATCGGTTGCCATGGCTCTCTCTTTGCGATTCCTATCTCAGGCCTCCAAGAACATCGTGGCTCATGCGCCATCGCCGAGGGCCGTGCGCACGCCCATCACGCCGAAGACCCCAAAGACGCCGAAATCACCCCAGTCGCCCTTGAGTCCTCTGAGCACGACTTGCTCTGGGTTGAGCTTCTTCCCGGTAGACGAGGCCAAGCGAGCTCCCAAGACTGCTCGTCGGTCTGTGCATTTCGCCGACGAGAGCGGAGCTTGGGTCGGCAATGCGAGCAGCTTGCTCAGTGCCAAAGGCCTCGGCCTCTTAGGAAGCATGGGGAAATTCCAGCCTGATGCCCGTGCCCAAGCTGCGCTGGACCACAGCGTCCAGGAGGAGGATCCCATGGCTCTGGCTACGGCCACACGCGCCGCGGTGTTGGCGCGTAAGGCGCGACAGGAAGATCGCTGCGTGCCAACTCCGCGTGTAGCGCTGGAGCCGACCTTCCCGGTCCTGCTTGGTAGGCGTCCTTCTGTGGGCTTGCCCATGAAATCGCCTTTGAGCTTCCTCAATGAAGAGTCCTGTGCGCATGCAGCGCGCCAAGCTTTCTTGGAGCAGCAGGAGCGCAGGGCCAGCAGAGCCATGGTGGACTTCGTGGTGTAAGCGAAGTGAGCAATCAGTGCCCAGAGCAGCTTCTGCCCAGAGGTAGCCAGGGCTGCTACTTTAAAACTGAACATGTCCTCAAAGGCTGGTGTGTTTCCTGAGGCGATTGTACAGACTTCTCAAAAGCAAGAGTGAGCCTCGAGAGCCATCAGCACAAGACGCAGAAGTAGATCCCATGAGGGTCAAGGTCTGCGGAGAGCAAGTCACGGCAGAGTTCATGCATGTCTTGGTCAGTACTTGTAGCCGCTAGCTGAGCTTCTACAAGCCTCTGCAGTCCCTGAGCTGAACTCTTAGTCAGCTGCCGAGAGCTGAAGACCGGAGCTGGGGCGCAGAGTCGCTTCCAGCTCGTGGCTTCGGCACCAATTTACATCTTGTTCGAAGCTTCTGGATCTGCACTGCTGTCAGCAGATGTTGCAAAGCTGGGCGTCCGGGGTGCCTGCTTTTGGGTAAGCCCTCAGCGATCCAGTCTGCAAGTTCCACGTGAGCCTGCAGGCAGTACCTCGCTGAGGTCACGGAGCTCAGGGACCGCCAGGGGGCTCGCCAGGGTCCGATCGCCCGTCTCAGGCGACGTGTCATTAGCCAGAGTTCAGCCCCGTCGTGCATCGGACCTTCCCCACACGTAGGAGACGTTTATCACTGGAACCCTCAAGTCGTACAACGAAGGCATGCCAGCCAGTTGCATCGGGATAAAAATGCTTACAGAATGCTGCGCACTGAAGACATTTCCATCTCCCAAAGCCTCAATCGTAGTCGTAGTACTCATCTTTCCAGCGGAGGATCGCATCCGCAGCAGCACGCTAAGCAGCTCCATGCAGGTTCGGAGCTGCCAGTCGTTCTTGACTTCGAGGGCGTGGTGGGGCTTTGGGGCTTGCATGTCTTCAGCACCGGGCACGGAAGTGCTGAAAATTGGACACGAGAATCCCAAGCGCATCCTAAGCGCGCCCCTCAGCCCAACAAAACGTTGCAGACCGCGCGCATACCTCCCTTTGGCTTCTCTGAAGTTGGGTCTTTGCTTGGAGGCCGCGCTGGCCGAAATCACAGCGGGGGACGAGGGTGATGGCGGTGACCATGGCATCTACAGCCTGGGTCCTCAGTGCCGTTCCCTGCTCGAGATGTCCGAGATCTGTGGGTGCCATGGAAAGCCTGGATGCGGTCTCTCGAATTCCACACGCACTTCAAGCCCTCAAACCTACTGCCGAAACTGCCCGAGGATTTCAGCCGGAGATAGCACTGGACCCGAAGACCCAGGAGTACTTCAAGGCCACCACTAGTGGTGAGCAGGTCCACTCGCTCGCACGCGAGCTTTGTATCCATTCACTTGCACTCAGTACGTGCCAGACTTGAGCCAGTGCACGGCCAACTGAATCCCAGAGCAACAAACTAAATGACGTGAGAGGACTTGATGTCCCGATAGGTTTATGTTCGTAAACTGGGCCGAGGCGTGGAATACAGTAGTGCGTCTCGGTGTACATGTTACCACCGTAGCTTTGCTCAATGTCCCACCTTTCCGGGTAGCGATTGCGTGTGGTGGTGTTGGTGTACGGCTCTTTCGGTTTTAAACATATTATAGCCTATAATATAGGGGAAAATATAGGGGAAAAATATTTTTTCCCCTATAATATGTTTGGTACTTCGCAGGGTTTGAGCCTCCCCAAAGCTCGCTCTTTCCACACGAGTTTGTTTCGACATTTACAGCTCTTTCTGAAAGGCGGCAATGCAAGAAAACATGAAGATCGCACTGACGAAGGGCCGGTCGCCGAGATGTGTCCAGAGATTCGAACCTGAGATGTGCTTGATGCATCTGTGACGCCATGAGAGAAGTTAAGTCGCTCTTGACCTGAATGTTAAAGGAAGCGGATGACGGTAGAGGATGGTTGTTCTACCGGAAGGGACTTATCGCAAGTGTAACGAGCAATTCCGCCAGCTTGATGAGGTGCCGCAGCTGCTGGTGAGACGATGTGACCTGGCTGCTGTGTTGCTAGGACGGTTCGAGTCACAACACACTCACGTCGAAGTTGAATACTCCGTCTCATCGTCCGAAACTTGCCGATAGATAACTTGCAACAGCTGTTGGCCAAGAAGAGGCAGAAAGCCACTCCCAAACGTTGCCTTGCCGTGGCCAGACAGCTGCTCATGAGCCAGCTGACGGATGCACAGAGCGAGCCAGCAAGCTCAGTTCTTTGAAGTCTTGGCAGAGTTGAGAGTCGTACGAGGGGTTGGGGCGACTATGGCAAAGTCTGTGACCTGTAAGCCGCAGGACATCGGGTTCCGTCATTAATTCTCCCAGGTGTCGTGTGCCAGCAAAAAGAGGGTAAGCAACAGAAAGTGTCTGAACTCTTCAGATCAGTGAGCAGAACGAAGGCTTGAGAAGCTTCGAGAGCAGCTTGTCCCGCCCTTGGTGGTGAAAGTCTGACCATCCGAGATCACGGGTGCCATCCTTAGCATGATGAGGAGACTGCCAACCAAGGAAGACGCCTTGCTCCAAGCGAAGCTCAGCGAAGGCATCGAAAAGCGCCCTCCACCGCCGAGGCCACGAAACTGAGCATGAAGCGACTTAGTCTTCACCAGCAAAACAAACGCAGTCCGCGAGTGGTAGAAGTTCACCACCATGCCAGCGACTAGATAGGGGTAGACTCGGTTGGGCTAGGCCGGACAAGTCAGGACATGACTTGACTAGACTGCCACAGACTGCGACGTAGTTCTTCTGGCTAATCTGGGACAGCGTGAGTACGGCACATCTTGAGCACGAGTGAAGAACAGAATCGCATTCTGCCCTGCCTGGGTGGCAAGGAAGGTGTCCGTGGTGGATGCGTCCTCTCAAGAACAGGCAAGATCGGGAAGCGCTTTCATAGGGTTGACAAGGTATGCATTCAGTCTTTTGGGCTCCAAGGTTTTGTTTCAAGCTTGCCACTACTTGAGAGTTTCATGCCTGCTTTCTTGTTTACGTCGGCAGATTGGTTGACTCAGTGTTTTTGGTCGGTGTCTTTGCTGCCGTGTGCTTTCGGGGGCTCCAGTAAAAAGAACCCTTTGAGCACGGGGCAGCGGTCTGTTTCGCTGGATGTGCGCTTCCTGCTTGTCGATCGTGTTGGGCTTTCCTTGCAATTTCTCGGAGATCTGCAAGACTCCCTGGAGCGTTTTGGAGGGGAAGCATGCCTGCCGGAAGTGGCAAAGCTTGCATCACTAAAGCACCAAGCACACTTCCTGGTCCCAGAAAAGCTGCAAGGTGAAGAAGCTTCAAGCGGAACTGGATGCTTTGCGGGCCGAGCCCGGTCCCCTCGCAGCGAGCAGCGCAGGGTGAAACTCACGAAGTGCCCGCGGCCCGCGCGCTGCCCGAGGTCCGACGCGGCGAAGCAGGACAGCGAGAGGCAGAAGGCCATCCTCCAGGCGTGATCCGACCAAAGTTTCGGCTCTGTGGTGCCGCTAAAGTTCCGTCCAGGCCCAAGCCCGAGCCCTCAAGCAGACTCTCCAAGGCGATCTTCGGACCTTAGCAGGACGGTTGAAAAAGCTGGGGGTAGCCCGCCCGACTGCACATTTTCCGAAGCTTATACTATCATTGTTACTATTATTATTATTACTACTTATAGATACTGGTAGCTTTGGAGCTTTACTGGTAGGAGCAGAGGCTCGGAGGCCCTGCTCGCGCCCAGCCCTTCTCCCTCCGACACTCGAAGAGGTCTTCGGACTTGAGGCTAGCGCCACTCTCGACGATGCCAGGACCGGGCAAAGGGAAGGGCTAAGAGATTTCCATGATGGCCCCGAAGATGTGAGATGGAGAGCTCTCTTTGGAGTGCCAGGGTGCGTACTATGTGGGTAGTTCTCTAAATTAAGGTTCCTTTTTAGGTCCCCAATATAGTACGGCGCCCTTATAAAAAGGACCCCCAAAGGGACCCTAATTTAGAGAACTACCCGTGTGTTGAGTTGTCATTCGATGTCTGACATCGCAAGAAGGCGCAAAGGCCGCCGTCAAACACACAGGACTCAATGGACTTCGAAACCCGCCAGCAGAACGACACAACTATCACTCAGCTTGGTAATCCGGCTTTTCAAGACTTCGGTATAGTATAGTAATAACTATATAGTATAGTAATAACTATATAGTATAGTAATAACTATATACTATAGTAATATCTATATAGTATATTTTGTAGATAATATGATAGCAAGGTGAAGATTCCGTTCTCCCTTTTGGAGGAAGCTCTGGGAGTCGCTGAACTCTCCCGGGGACGATTGGGCCGGAGAGGCGCCTCGCCTGGGACCGCCCACAGAACCCGGCCTGGCACTTCAGATCAGTGCTCTGCGCCAATGCCTAGGGTTTAAGGTTTAGGGTTCAGGGTTTAGGGTTTAGGGTTTAGGGTTTAGGATCCAAACCTGAGTTTGACTCATGTTTGCATTCGGGCCGTTAGGGTTGCGAGGGTTCTAGATGGGGCAGTCAAGAGCGTTTGCTGGCTCTGTATGCGCCAACCATTTTGAAGGCTCATCGTCAAATCCGAAACCCAGAAGGTGGAGAAGCTGCGCGAGAAGAACAAAGCTCTGGTAAAGCAGTCCAAAACCTTGGAAGAGGAGCTGGCAGAGCGCAGAACTCAGCGATTTTCTGTTCGTCTTCCTCGCAACGTTGTTACTAGCAGTCTTGCTTTCAGTATGGCTCTTGTCAGCAGCACCATTCTTGGCACTGATGGTTTTGGGCTTGCGTATCCAGTGCCTCCAACATCTGAGTACGCTGACTGCAATCTTGACGACCTGCTGGCAAAGGCTGTTGTGATGGTCTCTAGGTGCGATCGGAACGACGCAGGGCGCATCCGTTTTGGTTAAATGCTGTAAATCGGGTCGCTTGCATGTTGGAAGCAGCACCCTGCCACGAGCAACGAGACACTGAGCCCTGCAAGTCAGAAGCAAATTGGAATGTTGAGACCGCGTGGCGTGAGGTTCAAGAAGAAGAATCATGAAGAAACCTGCCGGAAGCTTCAAAGCCAAGTTTCTGTGTGGCCCCCGGCGGTTCCGATCGAAGGCTGGCAGTCTGGTACCAGCGGTACTTACTGTGGTTCCCAGCACTGGTTGCAGACAGCCTGCAGTGGCGATCAAGATGCGTTTCTGTGCTTCTTCGAGCGCGCATCTTTGGTCTGGCGCAAGCAGGGAAGGTAGGAGACATTGAACGTCGGAAGCGCGGTGCCAAGGACCTGCAGGCGGAGATAGAGAAGCTCAAGCACCTCAGCTGCAGGAAGAGACTGCTGGGATTGGGATGAAGCTTTCGACATCCTTACCCATTGCCCCCGAAGGCCAAATCTACTTCCACCAGTGCACGGAAGCACCGATGACAGGAAGCCGAGCGGAACTCCTTATATATATATATATATGTATATATATATATATTAATATTAATATGAATATTAATATTAATATAAATATTAATATAGATTTTTTTTTCGGCTCCTCTTGCGACGTTCCGTCTGAGTCCCCGAGGCAGCAGCTGGCCACCAAGAACCTCCCCTCGAAAGGCGCCGCGAAGGGGGGCCACTTTCTGTGTGAAGCAGAAAATCAGTCGTTTGGGGCCCATTGTACTATAATATACTATAATATACTATAATATACTATAATATACTATAACATACTATAACATACTATAATATACTATAACATACTATAATATACTATAATATACTATAATATACTATAGTATACTATGTAGTAAGGGGAAGACATGAGAAGTTTCAGTGCAAGCTCGTGGGTTGCAGCCTCGAGAGAACCCCAGGAGAGGAAGCTCCAAGGGCGCCGCTTTTGGCTCCTCTTGCCCGGCCTCGACTGCTCTTCCCCCCACTACATAGTATACTATAGTATATTATCGTATATTATAGTATATTATAGTATGTTATCGTATATTATAGTATGTTATAGTATATTATAGTATATCATAGTATCTTATAGTATATTATAGTATATTATAGTATATTATAGTATACTAGGCCCAAACGACTGATTTTCTGAACCCCAGGAGATGGTGCCGAGGAAAACGAAGCTCTGAAGAGGTCCGGGGATTTGGGTTCAATGGGCTTGGACGCAGCAGTGCAGAGGCAGCAATGCGTCGGGGTGATGTTCAGCCACGATCTCCGGGGACAAGAACTGTTGCTGCAGAAACCATGACCCATCTGAGTGCCTGGAGTCACGCCCAGAACCACGTTCTGCTTGTCTTACACCACCGAAACAGGCCATGCACTCCCACGGGTACCTCGGTTCTTGTGCTTTTTAGGAGACCTTAAGAATCTTTCCTGACGACCCGCTGCCAAGTTGGACACGAGGGGGCTCAAAGACACAGCCCCGGCACAGGCAACTGGCCATGTTGAAGAAGCAGGTTGAAGCAGCGGGCAAAGGTGACGCCCAGGGCTCAGCCAGCTGAGAGCTGCTGGAAGTTCCCTCCTCCCCAGGCGAATGCCTGCGGTCAACCCATCCCAGTCATCGCAATCCTGATGCGGGTAGCAGACGATGGGCTTCTTACGGTCTCCCAGCCTTACCGATTCTCGATTGTCGCTGCTTGCGACCAGGCCGTGAAGGACTTGATGAAGCAAAACGAAGCGCTGGACGGGCTTACTTCATGCACCATGCAGGTTCAAGGATCAGATGCTCTGTCGGCTCTGTCGAAGTCTTCATTCGGGGGTTCGCAAGAAATAGTAATATGATATTAATATAATGTTAATATAACGTTAAATATTATGTTAATATAACTTGTTAATATAATGTTAATATAATATGAATATAATATGAATATAGTAGCGACCTGAAGCTCCGCCTGCGGCTGGCAGCTGGCAGCTTCTCAAGGTTTTCAGATACGCTCTGAAGGAGGCAGAGCTTGCAGCGCTCAAGAAGCAGCTCACGGAGAAAGTGGCCGAGGTCCAAGAGACCACGAAGGCCTGCTTCGTGATCTTAGTGTCACCTGTGCTGAAAAAGAAGTATAGCCAGTATAGCATGCTAGTCTAAGTCTAGCACAGTATAATAGGTTTTCTTACCCGGTCTGCAGCTTTGGCATGAGATGAAAGCCTCCGCATCCTCAACCGGTGCTTTCGCTGCCAGGTGGCGGATGCCGCGAGGAGCACACCCGAGGGATGCCATTCAGTTCGCAGGTCTTTTCTGTCCAGGCTTCCCTCAAGCCACTGAGGGGCTTGCGTAACCGGTCCCGCGTGCCCTAAGTCTGACTGCTGGAACCCTCGAAAGCCCGCGAAGTCCCCGTTCAGCTGGGCCCTCCCTCGAGGAGGCAATCCACGGACCTCATGGGCCAGGTGGAGCTGATGAAAAAGGAGCTCGAGCGGGCCAAGAAGGACCACACGCGCAGCTAAACACCGCTTGGGGTTGGCCGCAGCAGGGACAGCAACGCGTGACGTAGAATCCTGACTTGCGTGATCGACTGCGGAAGGCCAGGCCAAGGCACCACCACAGGCTTCCTCGATCATGTCTAGGGCTCATCGACACGTGGCAGGACCTGGACAGCGAGCGACGCCTCCTACTCAGCGATTCGCCAGTGGCTGGGGTGGATGCGGCAAGTCCAAACAATTCCAGAGAGTGAAAAGGGCCCTGTCCATCCGAAGCAGTTGGGGCCGAAGGAGGAAACGGCCGAGACGTGGGTGGAAGGGATCCCCAATCTTCGTAGCAAAAGGATAGGGTTTAGGGTTTAGGGTTTAGGGTTTAGGGTTTAGGGTTGAGGCTCGGAAGCCCAAGCTGTGAGAGAAAAGGTCGCAGCGCAGCCCTGGAGGCGGCTGTTGAGGCTTTTGAAGAAGGCGCACTCCTTTGGTGGATTCGGGTTTAGGATTTTAGGGTTTTTATGGTGTTGGGGTTTAGGGTTTAGGATTTTAGGTTTTTAGGGTTTTAGGGTGTAGGATTTTGAGGTTCCGGCAGTTTGGATATGCAAGAGTGAGGAAACATGGATGGCACAAGCTGGAAAGACGAGGCGACAGCAATAACAGCAGCGGCGGCAGCAACAACAGCGACAACGACAAGGGCAAGAGACATAGTCCATGACTGCGATAAGTTCAAACGAAGGGCGAGGAAGCCATAACATAATATAACATAATATAATTAATCTAATATAGTATTATGTAATCTAATATAGTATAATCTAATATAATCTAATATAATATAATATAATATAATATAATATAATATAATATAATATAATATAATATAATATAATTTAATATAATATAATACAATATAATATAATATAATATAATATAATATAATATAATA